GGAAATGAAAACATACAAAAATAGTTTTGGAGAGTTTCCTTACGAAGAGGTAAGATTTTTCTTTGCGTTAATCGATCTTTAATGACGTGATTAACCGGTTCTCATAACAACGTTTGTCTAGCGCTCACAAAAAGAAAGGAGGCTCAATTGTGATCTTATGATTCCGGCAAACAGATTAAGCCACGATGGTCCTCACCAATGTAAGGAAAGCCATAACTGTACGCAACGATGTCCTTACTGCGAATTTTATGTAAGTTCACAGATCATTAAGCAATATTCAAGGATGAATAGTAATACTGATGACGATATTGTACTGTTAGTGTAAAGAATTATATGGACACCATGGACCACATGAAACTACCCACGGAAGCATGAAGCCAATGGTTTGGGTAGGCATTACCAAAACTATTAGCTATAAAAAACATACTTATAGAAGTGGGGATTCAGGGAGTCCTGTCTACTGCGACATGGTAAGTGAATAGTGCTACTGCGTAACGAGATGTATATGCATTCGTAATATTAACTATTCACTCATACGACAGCTGTGCAAAGATGCCAATCGTCACCTTCATGTTGATTATTGTCCCGACGAAACGACATGTAAAGCTTCAAAATTGACGAAGCGGAAGGATCAGATTGAGCACATTAATGGTAGTTACATGGCTGCTATATTCTCATAATTTGATTCTGTTGTAATATTTTCGGTTTTTGATCTGTCACTGTGTTTCAGATAAAATTGAACCATACCCAAAAAAGCCCAAAGATTATATCTCACATCGTCTATATTGGAGTCGATCAGGTTTCCGAGGTAGTGATCAGTTTGTGGTGATCCTGTATTTAGCCTTGTAACGTATTGGTACTGACTTCACCGTTTTATAGATCCTTATGAATCAGTCGACGAACAGAAACTCTTTACAAGTTGTGTACATCTTTGTGGCAGCGATGTACATGCTAACAAGGAGAAATACTGTTGCACATTGCCATTATTTCATGATCCTGTTGACCCTAACACACAGGTGGCGAATGGTCATATCTCGAAGGACGGTCA